CTCCATATCTCCACCTACCACTATGATAATGATAACACTTCCATATATCCAACTACCGCTGCCTGTGATAATCACAACACTCCCCATACCTCCAACTACCACTGCCTATGATGATGATAATTCTCCCATATCTCCAACTACCACTCTCAACGATAACACTACCTTACCTAAAAAACACTACCTATGATAATGATAACACATCCATATCTCCAACTACCACTACCTATGATGATGATAACTCTCTCATATCTCCACCTACCACTACCTATGATAATGATAACACTTCCATATCTCCAACTACCGCTGCCTGTCATAATCATAACACTCCCATACTACTCCAACTACCGATCCCTATGATAAGGATAACACTTTCATATCTCCAACTACTACACTACCTATGGTATTGATAACTCTCCCATATCTCCAACTACCACCCCTTGTGCTAATAATAACACTCCCATACCTCAAACCACCACCTCTTGTGCTAATAATAACACTCCCATATCTCCAACCATCACTCTTGTGCTAATAATAACACCCCATACCAACAACCTCCACTACCACTACCTATTACAACGATAACACTCCCATACCTCCAACCACCACTCCTTGTGATAATGATAACATTCCCCTACCAACAACCTCAACTACCACTACCTATGGTATTGATAACTATCCCATATCTCCAACTACCACTACCTGTGATAATGATAACACTCCCATATCTCCAACTACCACTACCTATGATCATGATAACTCTCCCATATCTCCAACTACCGATGCCAGTGATAATCATAAGACTTCCATACCTCTAACTACCACTACCTATGACAATAATAACACTTCCATATCTTCAACTACCACTACCTATGATAATGATAAAACTACCATATCTCCAACTACCGCTGCCTGTGATAATCATAACACTCCCATACCTCCAACTACCGCTACCTATGATAATGATAACACTTCCATATCTCCAACTACCACTACCTATGATAATGATAACACTTCCATATCTCCAACTACCGCTGCCTGTGATAATCACAACACTCCCATACCTCCAACTACCACTACCTATGATGATGATAACTCTCCCATATCTCCAACTACCACTCTCAACGATAACGATAACACTTCCTTACCTCAAACTATCACTACCTATGATAATGATAACACATCCATATCTCCAACTACCACTGTCTATGATGATGATAACTCTCCCATATCTCCAACTACCACTAGCAATGATAATGATAACTCTCCCATATCTCCAACTACCACTAGCAATGATAATGATAACACTACCATACCCTCAAACTACTACTACCTATGATAATGATAACACATCCATATCTCCAACTACCACTACCTATGATAATGATAACACTTCCATACCTCAAACTACCAATACCAATGATAATGATAACACTCCCATACCTCCAAACCACTACCAATGATAGTGATAACACTTCCATATCTCCAACTACCGCTGCATGTGATAATCATAACACTACCATACCTCCAGCTACCACTACCTATGATAACGATAACACTTCAATATCTCCAACTACCGCTGCCTGTGATAATGATAACCCTCCTATACCTCCAACTACCACTACCTATGATAATGATAACACTTCCATATCTCCAACTACCGCTGCCTGTGATAATCATAACAATCCCATACCTCCAACTACCACTACCTATGATAATGATAACACTACCATACCTCCAACTACCAATACCAATGATAATGATAACACTCCCATACCTTCAACTACCACTACCTATGATAATGATAACACTACCATACCTCCAACTACCAATACCAATGATAATGATAACACTCCCATACCTTCAACTACCACTACCTATGATAAAGATAACACTACCATGCCTCTAACTACCGCTGCCTATGACAATGATAACACTCCCATATCTCTAACTACCACTACCAATGATAATGATAACACTACGACACCTACAACTACAACTACCAATGATAATGATAACGCTCCCATACCTCCAACTACCACTTCCTATGATAATGATAACACATCCATATCTCCAACTACCACTGCCTATGATGATGATAACTCTCCCATATCTCCAACTACCACTACCTATGATAATGATAATACTTCCATATCTCCAACTACCACTATGATAATGATAACACTACCATATCTCCAACTACCACTACCTGTGATAATGATAACACTCCCATATCTCCAACTACCACTACCTATGATCATGATAACTCTCCCATATCTCCAACTACCGCTGCCTGTGATAATCATAAGACTTCCATACCTCTAACTACCACTACCTATGACAATAATAACACTTCCATATCTTCAACTACCACTACCTATGATAATGATAACACTACCATATCTCCAACTACCGCTGCCTGTGATAATCATAACACTCCCATACCTCCAACTACCGCTACCTATGATAATGATAACACTTCCATATCTCCAACTACCACTACCTATGATAATGATAACACATCCATATCTCCAACTACCGCTGCCTGTGATAATCACAACACTCCCATACCTCCAACTACCACTACCTATGATGATGATAACTCTCCCATATCTCCAACTACCACTCTCAACGATAACGATAACACTTCCTTACCTCAAACTATCACTACCTATGATAATGATAACACATCCATATCTCCAACTACCACTGTCTATGATGATGATAACTCTCCCATATCTCCAACTACCACTAGCAATGATAATGATAACTCTCCCATATCTCCAACTACCACTAGCAATGATAATGATAACACTACCATACCTCAAACTACCACTACCTATGATAATGATAACACATCCATATCTCCAACTACCACTACCTATGATAATGATAACACTCCCATACCTCAAACTACCAATACCAATGATAATGATAACACTCCCATATCTCCAACTACGGCTGCCTGTGATAATGATAACACTCCCATACCTCCAAAAACCACTACCAATGATAATGATAACACTTCCATATCTCCAACTACCGCTGCATGTGATAATCATAACACTACCATACCTCCAGCTACCACTACCTATGATAACGATAACACTTCAATATCTCCAACTACCGCTGCCTGTGATAATGATAACCCTCCTATACCTCCAACTACCACTACCTATGATAATGATAACACTTCCATATCTCCAACTACCGCTGCCTGTGATAATCATAACAATCCCATACCTCCAACTACCACTACCTATGATAATGATAACACTACCATACCTCCAACTACCAATACCAATGATAATGATAACACTCCCATACCTTCAACTACCACTACCTATGATAAAGATAACACTACCATGCCTCTAACTACCGCTGCCTATGACAATGATAACACTCCCATATCTCTAACTACCACTACCAATGATAATGATAACACTACGACACCTACAACTACAACTACCAATGATAATGATAACGCTCCCATACCTCCAACTACCACTTCCTATGATAATGATAACACATCCATATCTCCAACTACCACTGCCTATGATGATGATAACTCTCCCATATCTCCAACTACCACTACCTATGATGATGATAACTCTCCCATATGTCCAACTACCACTCCTCAACGATAACGATAACACTTCCTTACCTGAAACTACCACTACCTATGATAATGATAACACATCCATATCTCCAACTACCACTACCTATGATCATGATAACTCTCCCATATCTCCAACTACCGCTGCCTGTGATAATCATAAGACTTCCATACCTCTAACTACCACTACCTATGACAATAATAACACTTCCATATCTTCAACTACCACTACCTATGATAATGATAACACTACCATATCTCCAACTACCGCTGCCTGTGATAATCATAACACTCCCATACCTCCAACTACCACTACCTATGATAATGATAACACTTCCATATCTCCAACTACCACTACCTATGATAATGATAACACATCCATATCTCCAACTACCGCTGCCTGTGATAATCACAACACTCCCATACCTCCAACTACCACTACCTATGATGATGATAACTCTCCCATATCTCCAACTACCACTCTCAACGATAACGATAACACTTCCTTACCTCAAACTACCACTACCTATGATAATGATAACACATCCATATCTCCAACTACCACTGCCTATGATGATGATAACTCTCCCATATCTCCAACTACCACTAGCAATGATAATGATAACACTACCATACCTCAAACTACCACTACCTATGATAATGATAACACATCCATATCTCCAACTACCACTACCTATGATAATGATAACACTCCCATACCTCAAACTACCAATACCAATGATAATGATAACACTCCCATATCTCCAACTACGGCTGCCTGTGATAATGATAACACATCCATATCTCCAACTACGGCTACCAATGACAAAGATAACACTACCATACCTCCAACTACCACTACCAATCACAATGTTAACAATCCCATACCTCCAACTACCAATACCAATGATAATGATAACACTACCATACCTTCAACTACCACTACCAATGATAATGATAACACTACCATACCTCAAACTGCCACTGCCTATGATAATGATAACACTACCATACCTCCAACAACCACTACCTATGACAATGATAACACTTCCATATCTCCAGCTACCACTATGACAATGATAACACTACCATATCTGCAACTACCACTACCTCTGATAATGATAACACTACCATACCTCCAACTACCTCTACCTATTATAATGATAACACTACCATATCTCCAACTACCACTACCTCTGATAATGATAACACTACCATACCTCCAACTACCTCTACCTATTATAATGATAACACTTCCATATCTCCAACTACCACTACCAATGATAATGATAACACTAACATACCTCCAACTACCAGTACCTATGATAATGATAACACTCCCATCCCTCCACTACCACTACCAATGATAATGATAACTCTCCCCTACCTCTAGCTCCAACGACGTCCCCACCGCCACTTACACATTTACCTAAGTTTCTATTTTAGGACATGATATAACACCGCTGTCAGCAACGTTTAAATGCCGCAAGTGACAAAGAGACGCCCAGTTCTATACATGTTTACTGTTTCCATATCGACACAATTAATACACTGTATGACAACAATGTGTCTACATTTAGTTCCAACTCAAGGACAGCCCTGAAACGAACCACGAATGTCACCAGGGGTAAACCAGCATATTGTATCTGTGTGGTTCCTTTTCTAATCACTCAGATCACACATGCACCTCTACAGCAGGTTCAACAGGGCGATAACATGTGACAGCAGCGCTCATCCATGCAACACACGTGGATCCCTCTAAATATATAGCTTGGTCATAAGGGAGCAGAATATTAAGAAAATATGTCTCCACAGAGAAGTCTTTGTCCTCGAATAGTTACCACAATGATTCTTATCACATGTCAGTGTTGAATTACCCTCTTCCTTACTATCAAAACGTTTCTGGTAGACTAGACTTCCTTCTAGTCTCTGATATGAACATATTTTACAGAGAAAAATGATTTCAGTTCAGGTGAGGTGAAATTGGGTTTAACGTCGTACTTGAGAATATTTCGCTCATATGACGACGTGCATGCGTGTGTATGTGTATGTGCAGCTGCTTGTACTAGCCCAGACTGAAGCTGGTTTTATAGTGCTAGCACACTGAGATACCATGTCGCAATGAAGCATGAATACCCCACTCAGACACATTATACTGACTCCGACCAGTCGTTGTTGTACCCATTCGTGCCGTGCGCCAGACAGGGACCAACAAGTACCATATTTTAACGTCGTTTGGTATAACGCGATCGGGGTTGGAACCTGTGACCTTCCGCTCTGCGGGCGGACGTTCTAACCACTACACCACGGAGGCAGTCAGAAAATGGTTTCAAAGCCTTATAACCACACAGTTTATGCCTTATGTTATAATAAATTGAACGTCAAATTCAGTTATTGCTACTGAAATACATACCTGACTGTACCGCGACCAAACTGATGAAGATTAAACCAAAAGTGGTTTGTATTTCAGGGCGCTTTGCAGCTTTGTGTGGCGTTGCTAAAAATAGAACATGGGCCAGTCCGACATGACGTCAGGAATTGCCTTTCACAACATTTGCTTGGTAACGTGTGCAAGACTGCCATTGTGCATTTGTGTATACACGTATGAGAAAGAGAGAAGAGGGAGCTTGAGGGTAGGGGTATGGTGTGTATGGGGGTGGGGAGACTGAGAGACCGAGTGAGGAGGAGAGAGGCGAACTGTCTGAATATGTATGCATCTACACATACGCGATGGAAGGATGTATTTTTCTGTCTTGCATTCATCGAAGTATGGTTGTGGAAAATAGTAACCTGGATAAAACCGGTAAAATTTCAAGATCGTATATGGCAGATCGTATCCCATGTTGGCAGAGAGCAGATAACAATTGGGGCACATTATCCAATTGAGTACAAATTGTAACACATGTGTAGTGTTTCCATTCTTGAAGCAGTGTGTAAAGTTGCAGGCATTTGTGCGTGTGTACGTGTGCAAGTCCCTTTGGTGTCCCTGCGTGTGTATCATGGTACCCATCACCATGTGTATCATAGTACCCATCACCACGTAATCATAGCACCCATCACGTCGTGATCATCATAGCACCCATCCACTATGTATGTACCATAGTACCATCACCATGTATGTATCATAGCACCCATCACCGTGTGTAATCATAGCACCCATAACCATATATGTATCATAGCACCCATCACCATGTATAGGATCATAGCACCCATCACCATGTAAGCATCACAGTGCCCATCACCATGTATGTGATCATAGCACCCATCACCATGTGCACCATAGGGCGGTGTGTAGGGTGGATAGGGTCCGAGAACCTGGAGGTGGGATGTCTAAGGTGAGGGTAGGGGGCAGAGCCAGTCCTGGGGGGCAGGGGCAAGGGAACGAGAGAGAGGGAGAGCAGTGGGGTGGGGGTGTCTTGGTTGAGGGCTGGGGGCACAGGGCTGGGGGGCACAAGGGGAACGAGAGAGGGAGAGAAGTGGGGTGGACAAGCCTGGGTGAGGGTAGGGGCAGCTGTCCTGGGGCAGGGGCACGGGGAACGAGAGAGGGAGAGAAGGAGGGTGGGGTGTCTGGGTGAGGGTAGGGGTAGAGCCGTCCTGGGAGCAGGGGCAACGGGAACACGAGAGGAGAGAAGTGGGGGTGGGACAGTTTGGGTGAGGGTAGGGCAGAGCTGTCCGGGGAGCACGGGGGAATGAGAGAGAGGAGAGAAGTGGGGTGGATGTCTGGGTGAGGTAGGGCAGAGCCGTCCGGGGGCAGGGGCAAGGAACGGGGAGAGGGAGAGAAGAGGGGTGGACATTTGGGTGGAGGGGTAGACCGTCCAAAGGGCACGGGAACGAGAGAGGCAGAGAAGTGAGGGTAGAGCGTCTGGGGCAGGCACGGGGAAACGAGAGGCACCCAAGAAGTGGAGGCAGAGCTGCCCAGCACCCAGCAGTGGAATGAGAAGGAGGTGGTGGAGTGAGCGAAAAAAAGAGGTGGTGGAAGGAAATGACCGACCCACAGTGGACCCAGGACCCCACACAGGAAACACAAAGAAAATGACACGGAGGAGGACACACTGACCCACACACACTGAGTGGAACACGACCACACGGACCCAGTGAGAATCCCAGAATCAGACAACCCCAGACCCCACACACAACTAGGGAGACATGGAACACACAACACACGCATGGACACACACAAAGATAACCCAACCGGATGGCCACAGGATGGAGGACATGGACACCGAGACCCCAGACACAGCAGAACACAGCCAAGGACAGGAGCACAGGATGGCAGCCACGAGTGGACCACGAAATGGTGCCCACAGACACAATGCCAGTGGACTTAAGGACCAGAATGAGCCACCACATGGACAGGATAAAGACGGGACACAACGGATACTGGAATGACAGGAAAGAGGAAATGGACACACATGGACAGCACAGCTGACACGGAAGTAACCATGGAGGAGGACGAAAGAAGCCGACTGAGCCCAGAAGGAAGGAGTGGCCCTAATGACCTACAACTTAAATGGATAGAAGGGGTGAAGGTATGCCTGGGGGAAATGAGATGGTAATAGTGTGGATATGTAAGGAGGAAATGGTGGTATTAAACAATAAAAAATGAAATAGATGGATTTAAATGCCCTGTGGTAGTATTGATACAGAAAGGAAAGGAACCTCTATAGCCTTCTAATTTTAACACTTTTAAATGAATAATGCCTCTAATTACCTTTTTCTTGCTCTGTTTTGTGTGGGGTGATACAGCTTGAAAATCGTAATAAATTAATATGGACACATGGAAATGTATTATAGTATGAATGCAAAAGGAAACATAGCATATATATGAGCATATAACGTATAAATGAAAGGAATGGAAGTGAATATAATGGCAGAATATATCTGCATGAAGCCAGGTATGGGGGGGGATGGATCCACCACGTTTTTACATCATCATAAGTGGTTTTTATATTTCTTTGGATTTTCTTGTTGTTTTTGGTGTGTGTTTTAGGGGACCTTGGGGGTGTCTTAAGTTTATTGTATTCACAGAAAACTCCACCGCGTGTTTTCATTTATCATATGTGTTATTTGTTTGTTTTGTGGTTTTATTTGGGGGTCTTGGAATTGATTTTATTCACATGAAATGTAACGAAACGGAGTGTATCACCTTTGTTAAGTTTTGCTAGTTTCTTTGTTGTATTCTTTGTTTGTGTTTTCGGGTTTTTTCTATGTACATAAAATGCTTTAATACATATATCCAAATAATCACAATCAAACGATTTTAAACTTAATGTACCCATGTTTTCCAAGCATTTATTTCCTTTCAATCATGAATTGTAAAGGTATACAGATTCGACTGTTTGGTTATTAAGGAATGATTGCGTAAAATCAGTGCGAGCTTTTGTCAAACACAGTTTTCATTTGTACATTTGTATACTGAGTTTTCTTGATCCAGTTGTCCTTGTTCTGTAACAGTTATAAATTATACCTACAATTTATAGCATATAAGTGATAAATATCGGATGGAGTGAAGAAACGCACCAAATATTCCGCAGCAGAGGAAAACGTAGGACAGGTAAAATGGTCCGTTGACTGCATGAGTAACTAAAACTGATGTTCCAAAAAGATACACAATCTGCGTTTGGGGAATATGAAAACTCCATGTATAAACTTTGTCCCATGCCCATGGTGCGGAATTTCAACATTAATTACTGGTGTTTTCCCATTATGGAAGCAAAACTGTGTCATCTAACCCAAACACAAGTAAAATGGATACAGGTTAAATCTCGTGGTGTGTGATCCCGTGCATAGAGTTCCCAATCACAAATCAGCTAGTTAAGCTGCGTTGATCGCGGATAGTCCTTTTGGATGGGTGGCCGTGTTTCGCAGCTATATATAGACTTATGATAGTTTCCTAGGATTGCGTGCGTCCCGTCTCACAACGGAGCACACATGTGACAATATATGGCCTCGCCCCAGGCAAGCGAAAATTTGTTCAAACCGGGGCTCTGTCTATCCGGCCATAACGTGAGTAATTTCAGCTGAGCCCGTACAAGGATTCGAATCATACGCTTTACGTACTGAGCCATTATTATACACACCGATTATTAACAGCCATGGATCATATTAACAGCCTAATTTTGGAGACCGTCAGGATGTAAAGGGAGATGAGTAATTCTGCTTGCTACTTAAAATCCAAATCTATATACAGGGAACTCTGCCAACACCTGTCTAATCCGCACCTTTTGTCTAAAACTGGCATTTTTATTCCAGCGCCAATTCATTTCAAGGGCGACTGTTTTACCGTGGTGAATGTTCGTCCTTTGTCTGAGTATTACACTTTTAAGTGGGTCAATATAAAGGCAGGACATCATCACTGTCACTCCAGAAAATCACGCCGAAGACCTGTGTTCTATTCTCCACATGGATACCATGTGCGAAGCCAATTTTTGTAGTCCCCGCCGCTGAAAATTGCTGAAGGCAGCGTAAAACAAACTCCCTCACTCACCTTTACTTGTATTACAGCGAAACTCCT